CTGTGCTGGCTCAGAATCCAACATCAGAATTTCTCTATCACATTAGGTTTTCTAGATATAGCGAGCAAAAGTTTGAAGAAAACTTGAAGATATCTCTATAATATATCTCTAATAATAAAGAAGATAGAACGCAGATAAAAACCTTATTTTATAGCCAATAGCTAAAACTTTCAAATGATATAACAAATATTATAATCAAAGGTATCATCGCACTGTTATAACGCCTCGAATAATGCCTCAAACTGATGTAATAAAGAAATTTAGAGTACAGATTCGTATTTAAAGCATCGTAACTCTTTAGAAAAGTATACTTTAGTTCAAACTTCTTCTAAAGGTTTAAGCTGTGATGAATCCAAATCCAGCATCAGAATTTCTCCATTGCCTCGGGTTTTCGAAATATCGTGAGCTAAAGTTTGCTAAAAACTCAATATCAATTTAAGGCTGTTTCAAGTTTCTTAATATCTCTTACAATAAACAAGTTAGAAAGGAGGTTAAAACAGCATTTTGAAGCCAATTGATAGAACTTTCAGATGACAGAACAAACTTAATAAAAAAGACATCGTCGCTTTGTAATAACGTCTCGTATGGTGGAAAGACGAGGATTTTTTCAAACTTTAAGCTATGGAAACGGCAAAACCTTATGTGATGGAGAAATTCTAGGCTCAGTTTGGGATTCAAAACAACTTATCTTTAAGAAAAGTATACTTCAGTTTTTGGGTTTGGAATTTTTTTCGAAATTTAACATGAAAACTTAAAAATTTTAATTTTTTAAAAAATCCTTTTGTTATTGTGTCTCTTTATGGTTTTTTTTCATAGTTTAGCGTTTGTCTTGCTATTTTTATTTCAATTTCTTTAACATTATTTACATTTCTAATTCCACCTTTTTTTCATTCTACCCAAACGAAGTTCTTGGTGAAAATTTTCTTTAATCGTTTTTTTAACGATTTAAGCTAAAATTTTAAAGAACTATTTAAAAAAAAAAAAAGAAACCAAAATGTGCCATGTTTTGTAAAGAAAACGAAATAGCATTTTTTCGAAAATATAGAAAAAAAAACATTGTGCATTAAGTAAAAGAAAAACTTTGTTAAATAATTAGAAAAGGAGAGAAATTTTGAAAAAAATTTTTTTTAATACAAAATCACAATATTTTTTTAGAATAACTTTTTAACTTTCTTCTCAAACTTTAACTATACAACTAATAGTAGAGGTCAAATTAAGACATTTGAAAGACAAAATTCACATTGTTTTTAATTCACTTTTTTTCTTTTCAAACTTTATTACAACTTTTCTTTAAACAAAATAGAGTCTTCGGAAAACAACTAATATGAGAACGCTTAAATTAGGAGCATTTAACAGTCTTATCAAGTAAAAAGTTCCAAAGTTACAAATAATAAAATTTTGTTGTTTAAACTTTCAAGATTTGTTGTTAAATTATCAAAATTTTTACTTGAATTCAAAACTTTTCATATTTTCAACAAAAATTTAAAAAATTTAATTTTTAAAACTTTCAGTAGACTCTTTTGTGTTTAATTTTCATTCTAAACTACAAATCGAATATGAATTTTTTTAATAAAATTAAGATTTTATTTTAATAAAATATTATTTTTTTTTTTAATTTAAAAATTTTCAACTACAAAATGCAATTGGATTATTTATAGCAATATACCTCAAATTTTTGTTTATTTTTTTTTTTAATAAATATATTGTTTTATAATTAAAAAACAATTTCATTTTTTACATAAATTTTATAACACAAAAAACATCCCTTAAAAATAATTTAAAAGTATTATTTTTATTTAAAAATTAAACAAAAAAAAACTTATGAAAATATAATAATATATTTCTTAACTGCCTACAAAAAACTACTTAACTTTTAAATTTAAAAAGAAAAAGAAAAATCAAACAAAACCTTGTAAAATAGTATTTAAGTGTAAAAAAAACTAATAAATAGTTAATTTCTTTTATAAAAATCAAAAACAAATTGCATTTAAACCTAAAATATTTTATTATTTCTTTAAATATAAGTAAAACAAAATTCTAAGTGTCTATTAATTACTTTTTTTAGTTTTTAAATAAAAAAAAAAACATTAAAATTAATTCTAATTCTAAGTTTATAAGTTTTTTTAAGTCTAATTATAAAATTTTTATTGTTTTTTAAGTAAACAAAAAACTAAGCCATTTTTTTATATAAACAAAAACAAAAACAATTTCATTATAGCCATTGTGTGAAAAAATAAGTCATGATATCAGTTTTTTTATAAATATAAATATTCATTTTACCATAAAATCTTCTTAAAATTAAATAAATATTTCATACTAAAGAAACAAAAAACAAAAAATTATATTTTTTTGCACAAAAAAATTCTATTTGAAAAAAGATAAATAATAAATGTACACTTAAAATGTAATTGAAAGAAAATGACAAGGCAATTATTGCTAAAGAAAAACGTAAATATAATATTAATATAAAATAATTGATAAAAATTTAACAAAACAACAACCACAACTTAAATGTAAAATTATCATAATTTATAAAATATACATGAAATAAAAAGAAAACAAATTATTTGAAATCAAAACAAAAAGAGTTTATTATTTTAAATAAAGTTTAATAAAAAAGGTAAGTAAGTTAAATAAATAACAACAACACCAACAAGTACAAAGTTTATATTAAATATATTATTATTAATTAATTTAGAACAACAATTTATGCTTAAAAATACTTAACAAACAACATAAACATGTCCTATAACATCAAAAACAACCTAAAACCTACTTGTATGTATGTGTGTGCACATTCATTTTTGTTTGCAAAATCGTGCAATTGAAATTTTAAGCTAAAATTGATTTCTTAATACCAGGAGCCCAGAATGCTCAAAAAAGTAGTAGGTATATTTTGGAGCAAACCTTTAGCATACCTTAAGGCTGTTGAAAGTATTTGATTCACCCTGTTAAGAAAAACCTGCACAGGATGTATCAAATAATACTTTAACTCATAAGCCTAAAAGTATGTGCATGTTAATTGCCTTATTTTGTTTATCTTAAGGGAAAAATTAACGCATAACGTATTAATTTATTCAGTAAAGAAAACTACATGATTATTTTTATTTAACAATTCATTTTGTATTTTAATTCTGTTTGTTATATAAAATTCAGCTACATTTTAAACTTAAAACTAAATTTATTATTACATTCATACATATTTATTATGTATTTTGTGTCCGATATGCAGTTCCTTTAGTTATAATTTCCGTTTTTAGATCTGAAAAAGTACATACATTAAAAACAAACGATTAAAAAAATACGTTACTAATATTATCGTAAATTAAGCTAGTAAGTTAAGATAAAACTGAATGAGAACTAAAATGGAACTGAACTAGAATTAAAACTCGAACTGAACGGGGAATAAACTAATACTGAACTAGAACTGAACTAGAACTGAACTAAACTGAACTAGAACTGAACTAGAACTGAACTAGAACTGAACTAGAACTGAACTAGAACTGAACTAGAACTGAACTAGAACTGAACTAGAACTGAACTAGAACTCAACTAGAATTGAACTAGAACTGAACTAGAACTGAACTAGAACTGAACTAGAACTGAACTAGAACTGAACTAGAACTGAACTAGAACTGAACTAGAACTGAACTACAACTGAACTAGAACTGAACTAGCACTGAAATAGAACTGAACTAGAACTGAACTAGAACTAAACTAGAACTGAACTAGAACTGAACTAGAACTGAACTAGAACTGAACTAGAACTGAACTAGAACTAAACTAGAACCGAAGTAGAACTGAACTAGAACTAAACTAGAACTGAACTAGAACTGAACTAGAACTGAACTAGAACTGAACTAGAACTGAACTAGAACTGAACTAGAACTGAACTAGAACTGAACTAGAACTGAACTAGAACTGAACTAGAACTAAACTAGAACTGAACTAGAACTAAACTAAAACAGAACAAGAACTGAACTAAAACTAGAACTAGAACTGAACTAAAACTAGAATTGAACTAAAACCAGAACTGAACTAGAAATAAATTCGAACTATATTCTAGTCTATAGTCTAGTCTATAGTCTAGTCTATAGTCTAGTCTATAGTCTAGTCTATAGTCTAGTCTATAGTCTAGTCTATAGTCTAGTCTATAGTCTAGTCTATAGTCTAGTCTTTAGTCTAGTCTTTAGTCTAGTCTATAGTCTAGTCTATAGTCTAGTCTATAGTCTAGTCTATAGTCTAGTCTATAGTCTAGTCTATAGTCTAGTCTATAGTCTAGTCTATAGTCTAGTCTATAGTCTAGTCTATAGTCTAGTCTATAGTCTAGTCTATAGTCTAGTCTATAGTCTAGTCTATAGTCTAGTCTATAGTCTAGTCTATAATCTAGTCTATAGTCTAGTCTAGTCTATAGTCTAGTCTATAGTCTAGTCTAGTCTAGTCTAGTCTAGTCTAGTCTATAGTCTAGTCTATAGTCTAGTATATAGTCTAGTATATAGTCTAGTCTATAGTCTAGTCTATAGTCTAGTCTATAGTCTAGTCTATAGTCTAGTCTATAGTCTAGTCTATAGTCTAGTCTATAGTCTAGTCGATAGTCTAGTCTATAGTCTAGTCTATAGTCTAGTCTATAGTCTAGTCTATAGTCTAGTCTATAGTCTAGTCTATAGTCTAATCTATAGTCTAGTCTATAGTCTAGTCTATAGTCTAGTCTACAGTGTAGTCTATAGTGTAGTCTATAGTATAGTCTAGTATAGTATAATCGCTGATTACAATTTCGTTATAAAAATAATTAAATATCATACGTGTACCTCTGGATGGTACAAAATTGTATTTATGATAATAATGTTAATAACATTTAAAGTTTATTAACATTCGTATAATAATGTTAAAATGAAATGAACAATAGCTTTAAGTTCTTTAAAAAGCTTCATACAATTAACAGTTGTAGCATAAACTGAACGAAACTCTAGCAAAGAAGAAACAACATGCAGGTAACAAACAGTTGCTGTTGAAACATTAAACATAGCGGTCTTAGTAACGGCAGTACGCGGTGAAAGAGAAAAAGGAATTTAATTAATGAATCGAAAATAATTGTGTATATATACCACAACAAGACGTGTATTAAATTTTTAATTTATAATTTATAAAACGGGGGAAAAAATACCAACGAAAAAGTAATAAAATATGAAATAAGATAAAATAAATTAAAGTGAAATTTTAACAGCAGAATACAAATTGTACAATTTGGTAAAAGAAGTGTTAAAATTAATTAAAATAAGTAAACGAATTAAACTACAAATAGCCAAAACGAATGTACTTGAGTTAATTGGTCTTAACAACTGACCTTAAGATTTTTATTGTTGTAGTTTTATTACATTTTGAATAAAATTTATAAACATGACTTCGTTGTCATTAAATTTAATGCGTGTAACCTGTAATACAAACACGTTAACAGCTTTGGCTGTTGCTGGCAGATATTCGTTTAGATCAAACTCATCATCAGCACAACCATCAGCATCGTCGTCGTCGGTGCCGCCAACAACAACAACTACAAAGTCTAGCAATTTGTTTAAACAAACTAAACGTCAAAATTCCTCTGCCACCGCTGATGCTGCCGAGGTCACTGCTTGTCCTCATTTCGCTTTTAATACGACCGAATCAACATCGACCGTACACCATACAGCTGAATGGCAAAATGCTTTGCCGTATCATGAAATACCTGGACCAAAACCTATACCAATATTAGGCAACACCTGGAGGTAGGTTTTTTTTATTATTTGTTGTTTTTTTAATTCTTTGATATCGATTTGAATTGTGTTTATGTGTTTATTAAAAAAAAACTAGCAAAACAACAACAACTATAACAATAAAGTAACGGTCATTTGATTTTTATGAATGAAAACAAAAGACTGAAGCAACAAACTTGATATTCGTAGGTGCATAAAATTTAAATACACACACACACACACATTTGTATGTATTTCAGTGATGCATTTAGAAATAAATATGTTACTTTGTTTAAAGTAATTAAGGTTTTTGGAAAAGAAAATTATTTTTTATAAAAAATGGATTTTTTAAAGAAGAAGTGATGGCAGATTGAGTTTTTTTTTCTAAAAATTTGCAAAATTTGAGTAGAAACGATTTGTATTTGTAACTCTGTCTGAATGTATAGGGTTCACACAAGATTTGATGTCATGAGTTTTGCCAAACAAGAAACAATTGGCTTGTCCATTGACTACTCTGCGGACAGATCTATTGACTAGTTTATGGAAAAGTCTTTTAGACTAGTTTTTGAACTATATGCACTAGTCTATTGACTAGGCTATCGACCAATCTATTGCCTAGTCTATGGACTAATCTCTATTCTATTGGCTTTTCTATTTTCTAGTATAAGGACTAGTCCATGATCTAGTTTATGGACCGGTCTATGAATTAATCTATTGAATCGGACTAAACTATTGACTAGTCTACGAACTATAATAGTCTATTGACTAGTCGATTGACTAATCTATAATATTTCGATTAATCTATAGTCTATTGAATATTGCAAGTACTAGACTATTGACTAGTGTATGATCTCGTCTATTAAATAGTGTATAGACTAGTCAATTAGCTACTCTATTGTCTATTTATGGTCTAGTATATTGAAAAATCAATAGTGTGTGGGGACTAGTCTATTAAATAGCCCGTTGTCTTGAGTAGTATCTGGACTATCAATATGAACTAGCGCATTGACTAGACTACTAACTAGTTTATAGATCAGTCTATTGTCTAGCGTATATATTGGTCTATTGTATTGGTTTAGTCTAAAGATTAATCTGTGTAATAACCTGTTGTCTGTAGAACAGCCTGTTGTCTAAAGTAGACTATGAACTACTTTATATACTAGTCTATTGACTAGACTACTGACTAGTTTATAGACCAGTCTATTGTCTAGCCTAATCTATTGACATGTCTATAGATTTATCTGTGGTATAGCCTGTTCTCTTGAGTAGTCTATGGACTATAGATTATGAACTATTCTATATTCTGGTCTATTGACTAGACTACTGACTAATTTATAGACTAGTTTATTGTTTAACCTATAGATTGGTCTATTGTATAGTCTATGGTCAAGTCTTTTAACAGATCTATAGACTAATCTGTGCACTAGTCTACGGACTATACTATGAACTAATCTATTAACTAGTCTATGGTCTTGAGTAGTCTATGGACTATAGATTATGAACTATTCTATATTCTGGTCTATTGACTAGACTACTGACTAATTTATAGACTAGTTTATTGTTTAACCTATAGACTGGTCTATTGTATAGTCTATGGTCTAGTCTATTAACAGATCTATAGGCTAATCTGTGCACTAGTCTATGGACTAGACTATGAACTAATCTATTAACTAGTCTATGGTCAGGTCTATTGACTAGTCTTTGAACTATTCTATTGACGAATCTAGGAACTAATCTTTTGTGTATAGAATAGTATCTACAACTGCATATTTAAATTTGGTCTATGGGCTAGACTATTGACTAGTTTATGTAGTTTACTACTGACTGGTCTACGGGCAAGTCTAGTCTGTGAACTAGTGTATGAACTACTTAAAGAAGAATATAGACAAGACAATAGAATAGTTTATAGGGTTGTCCATTAGGTAGTATATAGCCTAAGCTATTAACTATTCTATTGATAGATCGATCTGTCTAATGACCAGTTTATGTATTATAAACATTCTCAAATTTTAACTCAGATATTTGCGTTAATGTTGGCACACCCTGTAGAGTAAATAAGTTGAGTTTTTTTTTAAACTTTGATCAAGATTTGCGGTCTAAACTTGTTTATTTTACAACTGCAAACAGGAAAATTTTATTTATCAACAAAAAGTGTAATTTAAAATATTTTGCAAGAGTTTAGTTTGTTTTCTCTAAAACATAAATACAAATACAATTTTACAACAAAAAAAACTCCTAATAAAATGTACACAAAAACGTATTTGGAAAATGATATTGAGAAAGTTTATTTCAAAATCTGGTAATCTGGACGGACAGATATTAATTTTGTTCTATTTTTTTCTAAATGAGTAATTAAGTTTCTTTTTTAATCAAAAATGCTATTTTTCAACAATTTAGGAAAATTTTCGTTTGCCTAGCCAGGCAAACAGTAGACAGAAGGACGGACATATATCACTTCAAAGTTTTGTTTAAATATTTTCAATCTATATTTTGATTGTTTTTGAAATAATTTCAAAATACTTTTATTATTACCCTCGTAATCCAAATCTACTTAGTTTTTGAACAAAACTCTTTAACAAGCAAAAAATATTAATCGTGTGTAGAATTTTTAGCAATTATCTGTCATTTTTTTTAAATTATATAAAATGTCATGCATGAATCAAGAGATTTATATTTTTCGTAATAAAAAAACAATCCAACTAGAATTATATCTGCGTGAATAGAATAAAAAAACCAAAAGCAGTCATAAAATAATTTTAATTATACAGAATAATGCAATCAAGACTTGAAATTTATAAAAAAAAAAATAACAATAAAGAACTACAATAAAAAAACACTTTAAAATTGCTGTACTTAGCATTTGTATGGAAACTAGAGGTTTGCAAAATGTTGTTTGAATTTAGTCTAAAGTTGAAGAATAATTTTAAATCAATTAAATAAATTTTATAGAAAAGTTATTTCAAAAAAGAAGAAAAAGTATGTCATTTAATACGAAAGTTTTTTTTAAAATTTACATAAAAACAAAAGCAATTTCTTTGTTGAAAAAAATTCACAACAAAAGACTTAAGCTAAGAACCAGTTTCGCAAAAGAAGAACCATTTTTTAAAGAAAGAAAGTAAGTTACTATGTATAAAAACCTAAATTTATAAAAAAATTCTTTAAAAATTTAAAGCGATTATACAATAAACGACATTGAAAGTTATTTTTTTTTGTATTGTAATTTTCTTAATAATTAATTAGTATTATGTCAAATAACATTAGTATTAACATATTAAAATTTGTAATTTGGCTTGAAGACAAGAAAATGACAAGCAAATGTTAGCATTTCCTATGTAAATTAAAAGACTTAAGTCACTAACTGTGGCGAGTAAAAATGCACGTTTTTATTTGCTATGAAAACAAAAGACTTAAGACACAAACTTTTGTTTACAATTACAATGTTTCAAAAAAAAAAAAAAAAAAACAAAGACTTACATATGTACATATTTTTAAGCCAACTACTTAACGGCTCTAAGTGTTATTTTAATGTCAATGAATTTTATAATCTAAAATCAAATAATCAACGACAAAATAACTGCTTTCACTCTGCCTATCTTCTTTTGTTTAACACACTTGGCCTGAAGTTTGAAAGTTTTTTTTTTATACAATTTTATTTCTAAACATACATACATGCTATGTGTGTTTTTAATACCAAGTTTATTGGTATGTTTAAATAAGCGTGTGTGTGTTTATGGTACACGCATTAATTATTACATAAATATAAATATTTGAAACAAGACACGTACCAGACTAAAAAATGTTTTTGCTATTTTTTTTTCTATACACACATATCATTGCAATGCAAATGTCTCCAACTGCAAACACTAGAAAAAATATGAAAACTTTATCTTAGCTATTTACACACTCATACGAGGGTAATCTGAAAAGTAACATCTGTCATCAAACCCTCAATAAACACTTTTAGTATTGACTTTAGTATTGACTGATCTATAGTCTTGACTATAGACTATTCTATAATCTTGACAAAAGACTGATCTATAATCTTGACTATAGTCTAGACAATAGACTGATCTATAGTCTTGACTATAGACTGGTCTATAGTCCTGACTATAGACTGATCTATCGTCTTGACTATAGAATGATCAATAGTGTTGACTATAGAATGATTTATAGTGTTGACTATAGAATGATCTATAGTTTTGACTATAGACTGATCTTTAGTATTGACTTTAGATTGATCTATGGTCTTCACTATAGACTATAGTCTTGACTACAGACTGATCTATAGTCTTGAGTATAGACTGATCTATCGTCTTGACTATAGAATGATCTATAGTTTTGACTATAGACTGATCTTTAGTATTGACTTTAGATTGATATATAGTCTTCACTATAGACTGATCTATAGTCATGAGTATAGACTGACTGACTGAATTGACTATAGACTGATCTATAGTCTTGACTATAGACTATTCTATAGTATTGACTATAAACTATTCTATAGCCTTGACTATAGACTATTCTATAGCCTTGACTATAGACTATTCTATAGTCTTGACTATAGACTATTCTATAGTCCTGACTACAGACTATTCTATAGTTCCAACTATAGTCTTGACAATTGACTTTTTATAGTCTCAGAAATTGATTGCTCTATAGTCACATACATAGACTGGTCTTTAGTCTCAATAGTCACGGTCTATAGTTTGGACTGTAGACTAGGCTATATTCTCGATTATAGCCTAGTCTAAACTCTAAACTATAGAATAGTCTTAAGTCTAGACTATAGACTGGTCTATAGTCTCGACTATAGACAGATCTATATTCCTGAATATAAATTGGTCTAAAGTCTTGACGATAAACAGCTCTATAGTCTTAACCACAGACTAGACTATAGTCTTGACTACTAGCCCTCGTTGAAACAAAAAATCATAAACCCAAATTTGCATATTGAATATTATATATATGCCTATTACACTATGAACGAAAAAAATGCAAATATTTCATATTTATTTTAGCGATGACCGATTTATTTACAAATACTATTCAAAATTATTGTTTTTATTTTTGCAGTCAATAGATTAATAAATATTAATTTGTATGAAGTAGAAGTAATAGCTGTTGGTAATTACTATTTTATAAATTTTTGCATTTTGATGGAATCATCGTAAAAATATCTCAAACAAGACCTTGAAAATTGCCATATAATATTCAGACATATAAATAAACAAATTATTTTCTAAGGTTAAATTTATTAACACTTTTCGATTCTGTTCTCTAGATAAATGTGTTAAACAGAATAACCTTATTTAACAATATGTATATTCTAATAATTTCTATCTTACGATAATGCCGAGACATTATATAAAGTTTCTAATTAAATTTGTCAATATGTATGCAAAATTCTATAATTTGTTAAAAAAAGCAAACGCATTAATAAGAATTTTTGAAATTAGTTGTTACATTTTTGTAAATTTTTTGCATATTTTATACAAACATATGCAGTACAGTAGCAAAAAACTATGTTTTCTTTAACCACTAGCAGCTGTCAGGTGTTAATTTATCAACTGACAACATTTATAACATCATAATTGCAGATTATAACACATTTTATATTTATTTTAAACTGTATTTATTCAAGGTCATGGTAAATATTAACGACCCAACCAAATTGTATTGTTTCAAACCGATGGATGACAACTTGCCAATTGAAAGAAAAAATAGGGAAATTATATGTATGAATCATAGAGGAAATTGGTTTTTTAAACTAAAACTCTGTTTGTTTGTATAATTTGGAAGCAGTCAAGTGTACATTTAAATTTGTTTGTTTACAAACACACATTTCGCTTTTTAAAAATAAATTTGTTACGGTAGTGAAAAAGTGTTGATGAATTTTGTAAATAAATATTTAAAATTATTTTACTAAATTGAAAAGAATCTTTAACACTTGACCGTGAATTTTTAATTCCGTTTAGGATTGGCGATGGGGGACTTAGGAAATAAAGTTGTAATTGACATTGGTAGAAGAGAGAATTGAAAAGTTTCTGAGTGTTTCTTACAGAGAATAAAGAAAAAATTCATTAAATTTGAAAACAAAGCAAATATACTATTCTATAGTCTAGACTATAGACTATTCTATAGTCTAGACTATAGACTATTCTATAGTCTAGACTATAGACTATTCTATAGTCTGGACTATAGACTATTCTATAGTCTTGACTATAGACTATTCTATAGTCTTGACTATAGAATAGTCTATAGTCTAGACTATAGACTATTCTATAGTCGGGACTATAGACTATTCTATAGTCGGGACTATAGACTATTCTATAGTCGGGACTATTGACTATTCTATAGTCGGGACTATAGACTATTCTATAGTCGGGACTACAGACTATTATATAGTCTGGACTATAGACTATTCTATAGTCGGGACTATAGACTATTCTATAGTCGGGACTATAGACTATTCTATAGTCGGGACTATTGACTATTCTATAGTCGGGACTATTGACTATTCTATAGTCGGGACTATAGACTATTCTATAGTCGGGACTATTGACTATTCTATAGTCGGGACTATAGACTATTCTATAGACGGGACTATAGACTATTCTATAGTCGGGACTATAGACTATTCTATAGTCGGGACTATAGACTATTCTATAGTCGGGACTATAGACTATTCTATAGTCGGGACTATAGACTATTCTATAGTCGGGACTATAGACTATTCTATAGTCGGGGCTATAGACTTTTCTATAGTCGGGACTATAGACTATTCTATAGTCGGGCCTATAGACTATTCTATAGTCTGGACTATAGACTATTCTATAGTCTGGACTATAGACTATTCCATAGTCTGGACTATAGACTATTCTATAGTCTGGACTATAGACTATTCTATAGTCGGGACTATAGACTATTCTATAGCCTGGACTATAGACTATTCTATAGCCTGGACTATAGACTATTCTATAGTCGGGACTATAGACTATTCTATAGTCGGGACTATAGACTATTCTATAGTCGGGACTATAGACTATTCTATAGTCGGGACTATAAACTATTCTATAGTCGGGACTATAGACTATTCTATAGTCGGAACTATAGACTTTCCTATAGTCGGGACTATAGACTGTTCTATAGACGGGACTATAGACTATTCTATAGTCGGGACTATAGACTATTCTATAGTCGGGACTATAGACTATTCTATAGTCGGGACTATAGACTATTCTATAGTCGGGACTATAGACTATTCTATAGTCGGGACTATAGACTATTCTATAGTCGGGACTATAGACTATTCTATAGTCGTGACTATAGACTATTCTATAGTCGGGACTATAGACTATTCTATAGTCTGGACTATAGACTATTCTATAGTCGGGACTATAGACTATTCTATAGTCGGGACTATAGACTATTCTATAGTCGGGACTATTGACTATTCTATAGTCGGGACTATTGACTATTCTATAGTCGGGACTATTGACTATTCTATAGTCGGGACAATAGAAAGTTCTATCGTCTGGACTATAGTCTAATTTATAGTCTTGACTATAGACTAATTTATAGTCTTGACTATAGACTCTTCTATAGTCTTGACTATAGTCTGTACACTATTCTATAGTCTCGACTATAGACTATTCTATAGTCTTGACTATAGACTATTCTATAATCTATTTTAATAGATTATTCTATAGTCTTGGCTATAGACTATTCTATAGACTGCTCTGTGGTCTTGACTTTAAATCTTCTATTGTCTTGTCTATAGACTATTCTAAGGTCTCGACTATAGACCATTCTATAGTCATGACTATTTATAGTTATCATATCTAAATTTTGTAGTTCTAATTTCTAAATTTCTTTTAATTTTTTTACATTTCAGAATGATGCCCATCATTGGACAATATACCATAGGTGATGTTGCCAAAATCTCCTCTCAACTACATGAACAATATGGGCAGATAGTACGTTTTAGTGGTTTGATTGGTAGACCAGATCTGCTGTTCATATACGATGTAGATGAAATTGAGAAATGTTATCGTAATGAAGGTCCCACACCCTTTAGACCCTCGATGCCAAGTTTAGTTAAATATAAGGGAGTAGTAAGAAAAGATTTCTTTGGTGAACTTGGCGGAGTAGTAGGAGTGTAAGTTTGTTTTATTTAAATATAAATATTTCAATAACTAATAAGTTTTATATAACACAGTCACGGTGAGCCCTGGAGAGAGTTTAGATCAAGAGTTCAGAAGCCTGTTTTACAATTATCTACCATACGTCGTTATTTACAACCTTTGGAAGTGGTTACTAATGATTTTTTGGAGCGTTGTGAATCTTTATTAGATGCCAATTCTGAACTGCCCGATGATTTTGATAATGAAATCCACAAATGGTCTTTGGAATGTAAGATAACGAATAAATTTTTAATAAAATCATATTTTTATTTGTTATGCTTTTAAAGGTATTGGACGTGTTGCTTTGGATACTCGTTTGGGTTGTTTAGAGTCGAATTTATCACCCGACTCTGAGCCTCAACAAATTATAAATGCTGCCAAATATGCTTTACGTAATGTAGCTACTCTGGAATTGAAAGCACCCTATTGGAGATATTTTCCCACACCATTATGGACTCATTATGTCAAGAATATGAATTTCTTTGTGGAGTAAGTATTGAGTAACTAAAATAGTCAATAACTTAAAGTTTCCTTTGAATTCCTTTGAAATTATTTTAGAGTTTGCATGAAATACATTAAAACAGCAACAGAAAATTTAAAGCTGAAAGGACCCTGTACCAATGGTGAACCTTCACTATTGGAAAAGGTAATTTTATCACAAAAAGATGAAAAAATTGCCACTATAATGGCCTTGGATTTGATCTTAGTTGGTATAGATACGGTAAGTTTCAGCTGCTTCTCAATATTAATGAAAAATTTAAAAATATTTTCTATATTTAATAGATTTCAATGGCTGTATGTTCTATGCTTTATCAATTGGCTACCCGTCCGGAGGAGCAGCAGAAAATCCATGAAGAATTGAAAAGACTAATGCCAGATCCCACACAACCATTAACCATACAATTATTAGATCAAATGCATTATCTAAAGGCTTTTATCAAAGAAGTATTTCGTATGTATAGTACGGTTATAGGTAATGGCAGAACATTACAAGAGGATACTGTAATCTGTGGTTATCAAGTGCCCAAAGGAGTAAGTATTCCTTGTGAAAGAGAACTATAAATATAAACTTTTATATAATTATTAGGTACAAGCCGTCTTCCCCACCATAGTCACCGGCAATATGGAGGAATATGTATCAGATGCTGCCACTTTTAAGCCTGCTAGATGGCTTAAACCAAGTCAAGGTGGCATTGAGGGTAAATTGCATCCCTTTGCTTCGTTGCCCTATGGCTATGGAGCTCGCATGTGTTTGGGTAGACGTTTTGCCGATTTAGAAATGCAAATTTTATTATCAAAACTTTTGCGTAACTATAAATTAGAATATGAACATGAACCCTTAGAATATGCTGTTACATTTATGTATGCTCCAGAAGGTCCTTTAAAATTTAAAATGACCAAGTATTAGTAGTACATGTGTATGTTGTAAGTTATTTTTAGGTTATTATGTTAAATTTATTTTTATACTAAACTTTGTAGCGAATAAAAAGTAAATATGTATGAGTGATCACAGATTTTTACTATTTACTCAAATGGCGTGTTATTTAAGGATCTTGGTGGGAAATATGAGTGATCTCAGATGTTTACTATTTTCTCGATTAGAACGTTATTTAATGATCTACATGCGATTTTAGATTTTTCAATTCGATTTTTTGGTGGGGAATACATGTAAGTGATCAAAGATATTCATTATTTTCACAATTGGAGTGTTTTTTTAAGAATCTACAGCCGATTTTCAGTTTTACATATTAAAATCGATTTTTATGGGAAATAGGAATGATCACAGATTTTCGAAATTTTTTCAATTTGTGCTTTTTTTTTAAGGATCTACAGCCATTTTGAGTTTTTTATGCAAAAATTGATTTTTGTTGGGACAAATGATTGATCACAGAAATTCACTATTTTATCCTTTGGAGCATTAATTCAGTTGAAACAAACAAGGGGAAGGTATTATTGTTGTTTTTCTTGATTTCTAGATCAGCGACATTTCTATGCAAAATCACATTCTACTCAATTCAATCTACTCTAAAATATAGCATAAGTTTTTCTTACCTTTCAAATCTAGCCTTTCAATATTCTTTCTTTAGTCTATTTTGTTTGTTTCTTCTAGATTTTATTACAAAACTTTACTTCATCTTATTTACGCTTCCATGCTTTAAACCAGCTTTTAATCGCTTTTAAACTTTGTTCAGCATCCTGTTTTGTTTCGCCTTTCAGTTCAAATACTATATCGGGTTTATACGAATCCTTAGCCTCTTCCAATATCGTTCCAAATATTTCACATTCCAAATTTGATTTCAACTTCTTTTCATTATACTCGCGCTCTTTAAGACGATCGTAGAGTACAGTGTTATTGGGACAAGTTACCACAAATACAGCCTGAAACCATCTTTCGGGAAAGAAATCACAACCATGATATTCGACTACATTACCACCTTGTTGCATGAGTGGTTCCATATAATCCATAAGTTTGTCTTCATCTAAAATGGGACATTCATATTCCTCATCGTATTCTTCGATAAAATCTTTTTCTTTGGCCACTTTTGAACAGTCTATCCAATTGAGTTTCAATTGTTCGGAAATTCTTTGGCAAATGTAAGATTTGCCTACGCCTGGTGTTCCTGCGTTTATTATATGTTATTTTTTATAGACAATTTCTTTATATATCAAAATACTAACCTGTTATTAAGATATTGGGTAAGGCATCAACATTTTCATCGGTGGAAGTCATTTTTATTAATATTTTAATAAATTTTATGGATTATTTTTTCCCCCAACAATAAATGTAAACAAAAAAACATGTGCAAGGCGAATTCAGATAAGGTGGTGGTAGTTCGGTAACAACAAAATTTTCCAAGTAATTTTTTTGTTTCATTTGGTACGCACTGATGTCAAAAACAATAATTGCGGCAAAACGACTAAAATTATGTAAAATTAATATTATTGTGAAAAATAAGCATAAAAATATAAAAATTTATTTAAAAATTATATACTGAATGAAAGAATCTTGGTTTCAAACGGAAAATTCTATTCCGGCGGAGTAATTTTTAAGATTTGCACGTTGTAGTCAGCTGCCGCTGCCAGATGGGTGAGTACCTCATATGGGTTTTGTTATATAAAGCAATTTATTAAAATTTTTTTAGATCTCCAAATTTTACCATAACGTAGAAGACAGCTGCCGCCGGTCTTCATGTGGGTTTTTTATATAAAGTATTCCATAACAGATTTTTTTATAATGCTTGGTATTTTCAAATTTTTTACATAAGTTATTTAAAATACTAACGAAATTTTTCTCTGTTAATGTAAACAATAAAAACAAACTCTGACATCAGTGCGTACCAGTCAAGTGAAGAAAAATTAATCAGCTGATTGAATAACACCACCTTATGTGAATTCGCCTTGAACATGTGCAACTGCCCTGAAAAACAGAGTTGTTAAATAAAAAAAGCTGCCAGACTAAAGAAATAGATGTGTATTCTCTATATTTTCTATGTATGGTAGCCTCAATGTTGCAAATAATATGGCATTCCTAGCAGAGACTTGCGCCGATTCGGCTTAAGCCGACTAAGCCTAGCCGCCGAACAAAATGTCAAAGCCGCCGCCGCCAAAAATTTTTCAGCTTAATACGGCTTGAAAATTTCGCCATATTTTGTACAATTTACAGAATACTTTCGCTAAATTTGTGGAATTTTACAATATAAAATTAATTTGTTTTCATTTAAGCAAGTTTTCTTTTATCTAATAATAAGCCGCTCATTGAAATTTGGCCGGTGTAGAACTTTGCTCAACGTTCGATGTACATGCTTCGCCTCAGATATTTTCGTGTTTTCGCGCCTAATTCGAGTCGCTGCTTTGACTTCAAACCAGCTTCGTTGACGTCAACGGAGCTACACCTTTTTACATTGCTGGTATGTCATACCGTAAAGGGCTAGGGTATCGAACATGTGTATTTCAAATGGGAAGTGCAATTGATGTCAATTCTGCCGACTGCGAAAAGAAATTTTGCTAGAATTTTTCGCGCCAAGCTGTTTTCTGCATTTTTTATTTGCCACAAAAAATCTGTTGTTGTGTGTGTGCGAAAATCTAAAATGACAGAAATGATATTCTTTAAATAAAAAAAATAATGTTTTACTAAAAATTGAAATTAATAAGATTGTATGCTATACTACTATACCGAGGGTCATTGTACAAAGAAACAGCAAGTGTTGGGTTGAATTTATTTAAATTGTTAATAATTATGATGAAATTTTTTTAAGGCGGGGTTTGTTTTCGTTTAATACCCAAAAGTGTTTATCGAAATCTATATTTGGCATATTTGTGAGATCTAGAAGATTAAAAAATGTAAGTAATGGTGTAAACGGTTTTAGCTAAAGAGCTGAAATTTAGACAAGAGGTTGGTCTTCCACCAAATAGATCCACTTAGACGGGATTTTTGGAAATTCGAATGATTAGGGGGTTAAAAATGGTAAAAACGGGTAAATTCGGTAACCTCATATCTCCTAAACTATAAAAGATACAAAAACATTTTAAAGCTTATCGTCGTTCATTTAAAAAATAAGCGGGCAGGTGTCTGGTACTTTTTTCAAATTCGGCCCCTTTGGGGAATTAACGGGTAGAAACTGTAATTTGGTACTTCTTTTGCACCCCATGTATCTTTTAAACCAGAGAACATTCAAAAAATATTTTTGAATCCTTCATAACTTGACGAACAAATAAAAATATAAATTTAGTACTTTTTGGATATTCGGACGTTTAAGGGGTGGAAATTGTACCTATTTTTGGTACTTTTTTATAAAACATTGTTTTTGGTTTATTAACTTATACATATGAATACATAATAACGGGCTCCCAATACGATGTTGCAACTGGTACTTTTTTGACTTAGAACTTAGAAACATGTAATTAAGCACTTGAGAATCTATAAAAGTAGACTTTTTGGTACTTTTTCGTTCTTCAAAAGGTACTTTTTGATTTTTCTATTTTTCTCGTTCTTCGACTGGTACTTTTTAATTTTTTATAATATTGAACCTAGAAACATGAATTTAGGAATGTACAGCCCGGATTAAGTAATAACATATAAAAGGGAACTTTTTGGTACTTTTTCGTTCTTCAAAAGGTATTTTTTGAATTTTCTATAATATTGAACATGGAGTAAGTGAGAACATATAAAACGGGACTTTTTGGTACTTTTTCGTTCTTCAACTTGTACTATTTGGATTTTCTTTTATAATGAACCTAAAAACATAAAACTAAGCAATCAGGGACTTGAGTGAATGAAAATTTAAACTGGAGTATTTCTGGTAATTTTTCGTTCTTTAACTGGTACTTTTTGAATTTTCTAAAATATTGAATATATAAACATAAAATTAAACACGCAGTATCCTAATTGAACGAAAATTTATCTCGCTTACGTCCATTTTGCAAAAAGGGCTCGATATCAATCGAAATCTCTATAGGCCATAGTTGACCCTTCAATAATTGATTTTAACGTTTTCTACGTACTTAATAATACCATAATAAAACAATTTTTGTTGGAACGAAAATATGTAATGAAATCTTCTTCAGAAAATGACTTAAACGCACATAAATGGCTTTCAAATGTCGATGTCGACGAAATAAACATTTTTAGGAACCGAAACCCACATTTATGAAAAATAAAATTATGAGTATCGGTCCGCCAATACAACCCTCTTACAGAAAATCAGTTTATAGCTGATACATCATTCGAAAAGTTATCATTATGATAGAATTATGGTAGAATTAAAAAAAAAATACTTTAAATTATATATATTATTGATCCAATTCCACATTTAAGTCCCTAATCCGAAAATCACGGTGACGTTCTTATTAATCTAATGATCGGACCACTTCCGAAATTTGCTTTTTTACGACATATGATTTGCCTTACTTATTTTAATCATAAAATACCACTAAAATAGGAATAGTCTTCCTTTAGAGTTGCGAGTTTTCATACATTCTAATAATGTTTTCAAAGTGAAACTTTTGGAATATTTTTCAATCTCTATGTGATCCCTTTAAATCAGCGGTTCCCACAGATTTTTACTTCGCGGACCCCTTGAAGAACTTATTTAATTTCGCGGACCCCCATACATATTTTGATATCTTATTGTTCTAAATAATTGTCCATCCGAAAATTGACCTAGTTCATTAATCCCTAGGTCTAATAAATGTAGAGATGTCATATCTATAAAATATTCCCGTACATTGAGAATATATAATATTTCAGATATGTAGGTTTTCAATTGCATGTTTTGAAGATAGAATGACTTCTTTGTTGATATGTTAACATGATGTTTAATTTTATGATCGTGAGATCTTTCATGTTCATTTTTCTTCAAGGTAGCGAAAAGGTTTCTTTATCAAATATTTTCACATGTGCTTAAGGAGTCACGTTTCAAAAATTTGTTGCGATTGCAAAGGGTGAACTGAGTAAGTGAGCTAAGTTTTCGGGAAAATAATATAAGAAAGTTCGCATAATAT